TGTTGGAAAGAACAAAGGTGTCAAAAAACTTCTAAGGCAATCATCTCCAGATGGGTCAGATTTGCTAATCTAGAAGCCTACAGGAAGGCTCGAAAGACACTGCTGTCAAACCTCAGAGCATATTCAATGAGATCTATCTATAAATCCCAGCAGATAGAAGAGATCTATAGAGTAAGCACCTGAGAATCTCTGCATCTTATGACCAGACACTACAAGTAAATACATTGTCACCAGATGCTGCCTTTAGTCTCCAGGCCTTTCAGTCTGCTGTTCTCCCTTGATCTATCTAGATGAGCATACTACCAGTTCAGATGTGGATTCACTTCTTGCAGCTAAAATCAAAACTACCCTACTTCAGTGCACATAGAACAGAATCTATGGAGTGTTGACAGATTAGACCTTAAATGACATTCTTAAATTGTCCAGAGGTTATTAGCCTGGAGGACATAATAAAAAAAAGTCATTCTCACAGCTTTGCTCTTCCCCTGTTTTTTCCAGTTCATGCAACAGTCTGTCATCAGGCACACCCTGAAAACACAGGCCACCCTTTATCAACAGGATAACCAAATCCTTAGTGTGTTGTGGAAAGTCTGAGGCAGCCCTTGTGGGAACTTACACAGCAGGGCTAGTCAGCAGGGACCTCATCTCAGAAAAATTCAGGGGGTGGGGGTAAAGTTGTGTCAGCTTATAGAACATTATATGTGGTTATATTATGTCCTACAGAGGCAGGGAGTAGAAGACATAATGGAGCCTATAGACCTATGGAAAGTCTGGCAGGGAGCAGAGGCAACTGCCCCATAGGAAATGATGCCCCTGCTGGTAAGTATCAGAAGATGTACAGTAACTCCTCACTTAAAGTAGTCCCGGTTAACTAGTCCACGAAAGCTTATGCTCTAATAAATTTGTTAGTCTCTAAGGTGCCACAAGTACTCCTGTTCTTCTTTTTGCGGATACAGACTAACACGGCTGCTACTCTGAAACCGGTTAACTTTGTTTCATTGCTGATCAATTAGGGAACATGCTCGTTTAAAGTTGTGCAATGCTCCCTTATAATGTTGTTTGGCAGCCACTTGCTTTGTCCACTGCTTGCAGAAAGAGCAGCCCATTGGAACTAGCTCGTGGGGGCTTGGAACCAGGGTGCACTGGCAGCTCCCCTATCAGCTCCCCATTCCCCTAAGTTCCCTGTGCAGCAGTCGCCCAGAAAGCTAGCAATTGCCAGCAGTTCAGCTGTCCCTCCCCACACTGCCATGTGCTGCTCCTGCCCTTTGCCTTGGAGCTGTCCCGGAGCCTCCTGCTTGCTGGTGGGGGGGAGGGGAAGAGGGGGCTAATGTCAGGGTGTCCCCTCCCCCCTGCTCTTGCCCCCCGCTTACCCCTTCTCCATATAGAGCAGGGTGGTGACAGGACAGGGCTCAGGACTGAGAGATATTCCCGCCGCAGCTGCTGTCTCAACTTCCTGATCTACTTAAAAAGGCAATGTACTTACAGTGATGTCAGTGTACTTAAAGGGGCAATGCGCATCTCTCTCTCTCTCTCCCACACACAGGGTATGTGTCTCTGTCTGCCATTCTGTCTCCCCTCCCTCCATTCATGCTGCCTTGTAGAGTGTGAGGCTACATTAACAACAATGTGCTAACCCTTGAGGTCTCAGCCGAATGCCAGTTCATTATTTAGCAGTAAGGCATTCCCTGGTAAATATCCCACTCTCTTCCACCCTCTGACTTCACCACCTCAACCAAGCTTCATAATCATCATTGCTGTGCTAAAGTATTAAATTGTTTGTTTAAAACTTATAATGTGTGTGTATATATATAATATAGTTTTTTGTCTGGTGAAAAAAAATTCCCTGAGACCTAACCTCCCCATTTACATTAATTCTTTTTGGGAAAACTGGATTCACTTAACATCGTTTCGCTTAAAATCACATTTTTCAGGGACATAACTACAACATTGAGCGAGGAGTTACTGTAAATATGTTTTTACAGCTTCACAGAAAGGTACCAATTTGGGGAGAGGGGAGAAGCCAGGATCAGTGGTTTGGGCAGCGGTGCACACCGGGCTATTCTGATGTGTAAACCGAGCATTTGGATAATTGGCCAAGCCATGGGTGCCTCCTTCCTTGGGGGAGGAGAATGATAAAGCAATGAGACCTGTTTTGCTTTGTTCTTCCCCCTTGGACAGGATAATGTGCAAAGGGTTGAGATCTATTTCTTGGCCAGTGCACAAGGAGACAGGGCCCAAATGCATAGTGCACAGGAGTCACAAGTGCTTCTGTAAGAATAACCCAAGATGGGAACTTTCCAGCAGCAGCAGAATAAGCAGCTGGTTCCTACACGTCCTGTTATTCTCCAAACCAGTTCTGTGGAAAGACTCACTGTGCTGGTCCCATTGTTCCAGGATAAGACCCCAAAATCTGGACCCCCTCAAAAATGACAAAAAATGCCATAGAGATTGGCTGTTGCAGACCCAGTCCTCAGGGGATCCTTTGCCTTCTGTAATTGATTCTGTAACTTAGGTAAGCACAAGACCCTCTTGACTTTCCTCTATGGTGTAAGGAAGCAGGAAGGGGTAGGAGTTGGGATAGTAGATCTCACAAGCCCAGTGAAGGGAGCTGCACTGATCCCAAATGCTATGACAGCTCAAGGATGTGGTGTTATATCAGGCCTGGTCTACACTGGGGGGAGGGGATCGATATAAGTTATAGTTAAACACGTAGCTGAAGTCGACATACTTAGATCTATTTACTGTGGTGTCTTCACTGTGGTAAGTCAACGGCTGATGCTCTCCCGTCGACTCCATCTGTGTCTCTCACCCTGGTGGAGTACCAGAGTTGACGGAAGAGTGCTCGGAAGTCGATTTATTGTGTCTAGACTAGACACGATAAATCGACCCCTTCTGGATCGATCGCTGCCCATCGATCCAGCGGGTAATGTAGACAAGCCCTCAGCTGTCCCACATTCAGCTTATCTTTTATCACTTGGCTGGGCCTAGGACTATGCAAATTCCCAGCTCACCAAGCTAAACATTTTGGGTTACAAACAATACACTATCCTTAAATCACATTTGTAAGAAGTTCTGTCTCCTGGCTGGGCAAAGCTGCTCATCTGTCAATGCCCCATTCTGGTCTCTGATCTCTGTGTGAGCTCTCTCTCGTCCCTCACACTACACCCTTATTTCTCAATTCCTCTTTCCTTCCTCTCATTCTCTTCTCCCCACCCACAGTCTTGCTATGGGATACAGACCTTTCTGAAAGTATATCAAGTTCCCCCAACACTCCACACACCTTTGTCTGTTAAATCCAATCTAAAATTAACCTTTGGGCAGTACATCACCTGCTCCTAATAACCAGCAACTTGCCTGGTCGGTGATACGCAGACCTTATATGTCTTTTTGTGGCTGCTGTCAAGGGTTGGCGGGTGATGGTGGGGAGTGAGCTGTCACTTCCACTTTCTTCGGAAACCCCATTCTCTGCAGTACATTACAGCCAAAATGTAAGGGGGATGGGTAGGAAGGGGCACTGAACCAGGCTCACATGCCACCCCTATTAGTTAACCTAGTACCTCCCACTTCCAGTGCAGGATTGCTCTCTACAACATGTGTTCCAGTGAGTTGTCTAGTGGAGAATTAAGATGTTCCAAGTGATGGAGCTTCCATCAGTTCCATGTGGAGACTATTTAATGGGATAGTAGATCTCACAGCAGATCTGTCAAAGCAACACAGAAGTGTGTCTTCCCTCTCCATCCCACCAACAGTAAGTTACTTATCCCTCACCATCCTACACCATATGGGGGAGAGAAGGGGCAGCTACCACAAGGGAGAGGAGCCACCATCACTACGATAAGATTCTCTGCAGGACCGTGGGATGGGAAGAAGAACTACCAGTCACTGATTGCCACTGAAGGGTCCTGGAATGGCTGCATCTCCTGTCACCTATTGCAGTGAGGAACCAGTGAGCTGTAGGTCTCACTCCTCAGGAGGGGACAGGAAGCTGCAGTCGCACTGAGCAGGAGAAGTGAAGTCCAGTGGTGACTCTTACAGCAAGGGAGAGGAAAGGAAAGTGGATGTGGTGGTGGTTGCTCTGAGAAGGGAAATTACTGACCCAGGGGGTCTTTGAGTGCAGCTAGTGACTTCTCTCCTCTGGAGGGTGCGTAATGGGGAGTGGCACCTGCTCATCACCAAGAGAGAAGGAAGAGGCTAAACATCACTGATGGTCGGAATAAAAGAAGAAAACAACAAGCCCTGAGATGAGTCGTATCCATCTATATGCTGCCAGGCGGCTCTTTGAAGCCTTGTTTCTGGTGGGGACAGATAACAGCAGAAGCACCTCAGCCCTCCAGGCAGCAAATCTGATGTTCTTGGGAAAGAATGGGGGGTGTGGACATTAGAGGTTAGTGGCATTTACCCCCCGTGGTGAACAACTGCTGCAAAAGGAGGTTGGTTTTGCTGATCATTCTACTGGTGCTTTTGGGGCAGATTTTCAGGAGAGCTCATCTTCTAGGGTGCAGGTGTTTTGAAAATCTGGGCAGAAGTGTTATAGTAGGGGCTGCTGAATGTTGAGCTCTTTTGAAAATCTGGCCTGAAGTCCCTAGAGTTTCCCAGGCTCTCACAGGCATGGGTGGGCCTTCTGCCTTGAGAGAAGAAGAAACGCAGAAATGCATTGAAATAGAAAAAGGAATAGCCAAAGATTTCCCAGGACAGTTTTGGGTTTTTTTAGAATGAGACCAGCACTGGCATCTGCTCTCATCTGCCCTGTTTGTAACTGTAAACACACAACCCCATTCCTAGCAGGCTGCACTTCAAAGGATATTTTTACATTTATATTTACATTTTCAAACATGGCAGGCTTGGCACATATTGTGAGTCCTTCCTTCAAGTGCTGGAGAGACACTAGATTTTCAGATTCTTCTTGTAACTGCAGAGAGCAGACCAGCTACACACCCTGTCGAGCACTTTCCAACAAGGACACCCCCGTAAATGTGTAAAGGAGGCCAAATGTTACTTACACCAGAGTCTCTAATTTACAGTTTGGGTGTGTCAGCCCCTCACACAGCAGCCGCACTCCAGAATCTCCCAGAGAAACATTATTATCCAGGTACAACTTTGTCAGGTTCTGTCTGGTTTTGAGAAAAGCGGCGAGATCCCCACAACCAGCAGCTGTGACACCGCACCCCCACGTAGCGGACTTCCGCAAGCTGTAGGAGAGAGAAAGGTAGAGAAGGGGGATCATGGTGTGAATGGGGCTCATCACAGATGTTCTGACAGGTGGCCCCACCCACCGGCCCCTCTACTTGACTAATCAGCATCCAGAATGAGTCAGAAGTCCTGCTACAGACTGTGATCCAATCAGAGCAGACCCATCACTACAGGGAGGCTTTAGGGGGAGCCACTTCTCCAGGCAGCTGTGCCAGGCTCAGAGCAGGAGGAGCTGGGAGATCCTGCCCCTCCACGACCCCCAGCACTAGCTCGGCTGCTGCCCTGCAGGGAGCAGCCCTCTCACATCTCTGCCTCTGCCCCCAGCCCATCAGCTCCCAACTCTGACTGTCAGGCCTGGGAAGGGGAGACAGCAGCCAGGCAAAGCACTGGCAGCATCAGACCCACCTTCCTCTGAGACCAAGAATCAAAGTGGGGGAAACAAAGAGAAGAACCCCCTGGAAGGGGTTTCCCCAAGGGGCGACTATGTGATCCTGTTGGCAGGGCCTATTCCAGAGTCTCTGGTGGGGTTATAAAAGCAGATGTTCTGATGGCTTCTGTAACCCCCCTGCAGATCCTGGGCTCCTGATGGAGCGGCCAGCCAGCTGAATGGGTAACCATGGCAGCAGGCCAGCTATGACCATATGCACTTCAAGGACCACCCACAAGTATGGCTGTCTTTGTCCTCCAAGGCCTCACAGTGAGCCCCCTGCATACCCGAACATGAGCTCTCCTCACCCCTAACAGCTGCTAAATCTTGCACGTATGTTGAGACACCCCGTCCACCAGAACTGTCACTGGCATGGCCTCCTTCATCACCTCATTTGCCTTAAAATATTGTTACTCTGTCCAAAGGGGAGGTGTGACAGGACCCCAGGGGTGCAACCTGTGACTGTGGGACCTCTGTGTCCCCTTACTCTCTATTCTGGGTTGTCTCTCACAATGCCATTACTGGTGGCAAGCAGCAAACCCCTCCAGGTGTTGTTACCACTCAGTACAACCACAGGGGGAGCCCCACACCCAGTTAGATTCCATGAATGCTCCCAGAGCCACTCCTGAATCACACAGAGAAAGGCACCAACCGAAAACACCCAGCTTCCAGACTCATACCTAGTAATATACTAGGGATGTAAATATTGTTTAAAAAGTTAACCATTTAAACGATAACAATTATATCATTTAAACGGAGAGGGGCTGGGGTGGCATTGCTGGGGTGCAATTGGGGTCCAATGCGGCTGGCGCTGGGGCCGGGGTCTGTTGGAGTCTTCTGAGTGATCTTGTTGCTTGTGCTGTAGGTGGGGGGAGGAGAAAAAGTAAGTCCAGGCCTCTCTAGTGGACATTGCTGAGTCACCAGGCAAGGTTGAGCAATTCCCCTGTGTGGCTTTGTGCAAGTGAGTCACTGAATTGTAACTCCCTTGCAGGACAATGACTGTTAATGGTTATATCTTTGGGGAGCTAGTATCTGAGCGCTTCCCAAACCCACAGCATATTTTAGTGACAACCATACAACACAATTCTCATAATTTCATATGCATTAATGATATAAAAATGTAGATGGAACAGTGGGTTTCAGCAGATCATAACCTTTCCCTAGATACCTTACATGGCCTGCTTTATATGCAATATCACAGTTATATACACATGATGAATATGGGGGTTAAAGGGCACTCCCCCGGGGTGCAGAGTGTCACAGGAGGGAAACCCCAACATTTGGGAGAGGAAAAGGCCCCTGAATTTGTTCAAGGGAGAGAAGCCCCCACACCTCTGGGAGCCCCCAGAGTCTGTAAGTGTTTGTAGAACCCCCAAGGTATTTTGGAGGTATGGAAAGAGGAGCCTGCAATGGGAGGAGAGATTCTAAGATTGGGTTGAATAGGGGGAGAGAAAACACCAAAGGTGTATTTGGGAATCTTAGGGGATAAACCCTAATTTGGGGAAGGGTAAAGAGAAGAGGGCATCCAAGTTGAAGCAGAAAGAAGAACCCCACACGATTTAAAGGCTAAAAGAGAGATAGAGACAGAAGACACCTGAGAAGGTGAGGAGAAAGAGACCCCAAAGTGTGGGGAGGGCATGTGAGGGGAATGGACCTCACTTGGTATTAAAAGGAGACCACCTTTGCCTGAAAAATATTGTCACTCTGCCCAATGGGGAAGTGTGAAGGGACCCTCAGGGTGCAACCTGAGAAGGGTAGTGAAGGGAGTCGTGAAGGGAGTAAGGAAAGACACTCCCACACACTCCCACACTCTGATACCTTTGATGGAAGAGATAAGGCTATGGTGGGGTAAGGAAATACCCACCATGGTGCAGAGGAAGACAGACCTCCAAAGAAGAGCACTGAAAGTGGGGGAAAACTGTAAATGAAATAGGGGAATCCCCTAGAAAGTAATATGGGGAACAGAGGAGAATTAATAAGTATACAGGGAGCAAGACAGAAAGAATTAATGAAGCATGGAGGGAGTCTCTAGGGAGCAGCAGAAGGAAAACAGAGAAGATGGACTGAGGGGAGAATGGCAGGAAAAAGAAAATGGCTAAATTTGAGGGTAAACAGACACTCAAAAGACTGAAGGAAAAAAGAGAGTGACGAAGAGAGAAGAAAATATCTGAGGAAAGAGAAAAACAACAGAATAACAAAATTTTAAAAGGGGGAGACAAAGCGGCACTTAGATTTTTAAAAATATTTTATAGTAAGTTTGATGCCAAAATGTTGCACTAAGATAAACACTCACTGTATGCTGCCAAATGTTCAAAAATCACGAGTCAGGCTGCAAAGAGCCTTAAACTGAGCATAGCCATGTGATTGTCTTAAAAATCATGAGATTTAAAAAAAAATAATACACTGAATTCCTTTTATTTGGCTTCTGATTTTTCAGACTTTAGGGTTCATGTTCTCAGGCTGTCTCTGCAACCACAAGAGTAGAAAGTAAGCTTTCATTTTCTTTTGAAATGGAGAGTCTTACTTAGTCACATGACTCTGGGAGCTAGGACTTTCAGAAAAACATCAAATATCAAGAGATTTGTGATAAAATCACAAGATGGCAACAATGTCATGTATTACAACATGATTCTCTGGTGTAACAGGGGTCTCAGAGGCCTGGCTGAGATTGGTAGAGGGCATGAGAGTCAGGGCGGGCTCTAGCTTTTTTGCCACCCCAAGCCAACAAAACAAAACAAAACAGAAACCTGCAGGGCTGCTGGAGTGGTGATGATTTAAAAAAAAAAAAACCTGCGGGGCGGCCGGAGCGGCAAAAGTAAAAAAAGAAAACAAAAAAACAAACAAACTGTGCAGGGCGGCCGGAGCACGGGTGCAGGGGAACTCCCGGCGCTGCCTACATGCCCCGGGCAGCAGAGTGCACGCCCGGGCTAGCGGGGGAGGAGGGGAGCGGGGGGGAGAGAGAGAATGGGGGCGGCCCAGGTCTTCCTTAAGCGGGGCGCTTGCCCCACTGCCCCTCCCACTGCGACACCTGCTGGGACGCGGGCTGCCCTGCTGGGCTTGCTGCAGGGCGTTCCCCTCCTCTGCGCCACCGCCCCCTACAGGGCAGCTGGAGCAGCAACCAAAAAGAAAAAGAAAAAACCCGCAGGGCGCCGAAGCAGCAAAGCAAAAAAAAAAAAGGATTGGATGCCGCCCCTGAATCTGAATAGAATCTGCTGCCCCAAGCAGGAGCTTGCTTGGCTGGTGCCTGGAGCCGGCCCTGATGAGAGTCCATCATTACTGAGATCAGAGGCAAGAATAACCTGATTTTTCTTTCTAACAAAATGATGTGTAAAATGAAGGGTTTTCAGTCCAGATTTAACTATAAATCTGAATGCAAAGTTAATCCTGGAGCTGCTTATGCCCTTCCCCATCAACTCAAATTGATGCTGGGTTTTAGAATATAGCTGGGTATGCATCTATTGGCAAATAATTGTATCTATTTAGGGACTTGTGGTTTTGATGCACTTTTATATTAACAATATGTAATTTGAGACACTAGAAAGTTTTCCTAGTGCAGAACTCCAGATGAACACCATGAATGCTCTTATTATTCTAATTGCATAGAATTTTGCCTTTGAAATGTCTGAAGACCATCACATATACTGGAAATGACACCTGACATTTCAAAAATGTTTAGGAGATGGCCACCCTTCACTCTCCTCCTCCTCCAGGCAACCCCACCTGGATTTTGTTTTGCCTCTTCAGAGCTTTCAGATGTTTGTTTGAGTCTGGTCTGATCAGTAGTCAGAGCTTTTTGAATTTTTCTGACACATTTCAACAAATCACGTGTATCGTGGTCAGAAAATTCATGAGTAGTACTGGCCCTAATTTTTAAATGCTGATTGTTAAGTTTGTTATTGTTTAAAAACCATAACCATAGAAAAGAGAGACCATGTCCAATCCAAAAAGCACATTTCTGAGACCAAAAAACACCAGAGAACAAGCACAGCTGTCTGCAGGAGAAAGGAGGCTCTTGTGATTAAAGCCCTGGCTCTACCACAGACTCTCCCATGTGACTTTGGGTAAGTCACTCTATCTTTATGGGTCTCAATTTTCCATCTGAAAAAATAATTATATTTCCTTCCCCAATCCTTTGTCTTTCTGGTCCCTTATAGCAGAGTGATGCTATAGTTAAGGTTTAGACCAGGTTTCTGTTTAAAATTCAACTCTTCTAAAATCCACAGGGTTATTCCGATTGCCTTGAAAGTTGGTGAGCCTCATGAGTGCCTGGGATTCTGTACGTGTTCCAAACATTTAGATGTTTGACCAGTTATTCCTGAGATACAATCTCTGGGGAAATAACAGTTTTTCTTAAAGGTGGCAGATTTCAGCAGCGGTTCTGTGCTCACAGGGTATGTCTACACTAAAGCTAAATACCCGTGGTTGGTCTGTGCTAGCTGATTTGGACTCCAGGGATTGGGTTGAGAGGCTGTTTAATTGCAGTGTAGACTTCTGGGCTCTGGCTGCCAACCTGATCTCTGGGATCCTCCGGCCTCCAGCCAGAGCCTGGAAATCTACACTGAAATTAAACAG